ATTGCACATTAGTCAGAATGAATAACAAGGATTTAATGTCCGTATTAAGTGTGACTCTAGATTACCATTGCATTTTAATTACTGTTACAGAGACAATCTCTTGCAATGATAACCAGCTTGAAAGGAATGGCTGCGCAGGAGCTCTTCTTGATATGCTGGCTGAAGTTGCATCACAGACTTTACATTCAGATCCTAGTGTTAAGATATCATCAATCAAAAGAACAGCCAAAAAGACTGCAGACATCAGTTGCCACTTTTCAAAGAAGAAGAAGGTTAGCCATTTAACAATTTATATTCTCAAGTGCTACTGACACTTAAATGTTTCTAAAATAGAGTGGCTTAGATACATTAATTTTTTCTAAGAAATCAAAGAACAGTATTCTACATTTTGCTGTTATATTTAATTCAGTTCTTTATTATTAATATGCTTCATCAACAGCCAGCACACAAAGGGACGAGTGAGCAGCAGGAAAAACTTGCTGGTACACAGAGTAACACATTTTACATAAATTTTGCCATCAGTCATATCAAAGTTTTCTGCTTTTATCAAATTCAGCCAGAAGGACATTTTTTCTGAAGTGTGTGCAATTTTTGGAGGTTTGAATCAGCAACCTACATTTCAGAAACACAGTTCTATCATGCAGAGAAAAATTGCTAAGAATTATTAAAAATGGGTAGTAAAACAGGGCACCAGTATCTGTAAGTAGATTTACTTTTGTTTCACACACAGTAAGTCATCACTATTATAATTTATTATCTAAATATCTCAAGTTACATGTGGCTGTTTTATATGTGTGTACAGCAACGAGCGACTTGTAACAGTCGAAGCAGAGAAGGGAATACAATGGACCTAGAATATCTTCGTTCCCTAAAAGCCAATCATTTGCTCAAGCTGTTCTCCGAGTTCGATGGTGATGAAATTCGTAGGATATTTACATTCACTTGTTTTATGGAACCAGACCAGTGCCATCAGCAATTTTCAAGTTTTGGTAGTGAGGGGAAAGCCAGACAGCAAATGAAGACCCATCTTTTGGAACATGTGCATCAGCTGGAACTTAAAGCAGAGTGTAAGTAGTGAAATTATCATGTCTTTAATGTTCACCTCATCAATCTCCTGATAATTAATAATCACATCTATACATGGAGCATGTTTGTTTTCAACACTGAAGGCTATGACAACATAAATCACTTTTATTAAACTTGGCAGTGTCAGACTCTTATTCATATTACTCTAAAGGGTTTTAACAGTAGTGTGTTACATTCAATATTGTTTTTTTTTAACTAAATCCATTGTTAATTATACTAAAATGAAATGTTATGGTTTCATTTTAGTATACTAAATGATGGCTGTACTTTAAAAAATAATTAACCTCATTGATATTACTGAGAGCACACATTGGGCAATCTGTTGTTACTAAATTACATAATTATCTGGTATTTTGTACAGATTGAAAACATTGCAATATTATGTAATATTCAGATTTGAATATGATGGCATGCTTCAGAACCAGTGGCTTGGTGGTAAGATGCTACACATTAATAAAGTATGAGTAAGACAACATATATGTTATGCACTGTTCTGTATTTTCCATTAGATCGTAAAATTGAAGAGAGCCAGGGTAGGTCAGTTGGTACAGTGTCTGACTAGCCTGACTATAAACTTGACGACCAGGATTCAATCCCTGGCAGGGGCAAGTGATTTTTCTTCTAGCCTCATTTTCAGGTTGGCTGTGGGGCCACTTCTTCCCCAAAATGTTTCCATGGCATGTAACGAGACAGCTTCAGTTTTACTAGTAAAGCTGAAGGCCATCTCCCTCTTAGGATCGTGCAGAACCACACTCTTACTTCGCTGAATATATCCACTAAATAGTTCTATTATATCATTACAAATGTGTTAATTTTACTGGTAAAATATGAGGATTTAATTCTGTGGTCATGCGTTCTGAAATTTTCATACATATTCCTGGAATGTTGTGGGATATTACTTTTAATAAATCACACTTGCTGCTTCTACTTCTTGAATTGCCCTTTTTTATTTCCCTTGTATTTATTTGTCAAAAACAAGTTTAAGTTCTACTTGCCTCCCATAACATTTAATGTTAATAATTCTTTGTAGCAGGACATTGATTATGAAATGTAACTCAGGCCCAGCTTGGATTTTCAGAAAAGAACGTAAGGCAGAAACTGGAAATAAAAATTACAGTGTTTATATTAGGAGAAACCTTTAAATATAATTATTTATTGCAGGTGGCTTTCAGTTCTCAGTTGAATCAGTTAAAGTAAGACAGCACCGTCTAGCTGAAAAGTGCAGTGGGTCAAACAGGAGGCACAAACTTAACTCAAAGATTAAAGTAGAATCAATTCCAAAATCAGAGCCATCAGATGAAAATGATAGCAGTCTTCCTAATAAGGAGAAAAACAACTGTTCAGTTTCGGAGAACTCTGTAGTTGTTAAGCCAAACCTAAAACCGGAAAAGTTTCTTAGCCATGAAGCAACTGAAAGCTTTAATGAGAACAATAACAAGAATGGAGTGGAAGTAGAAAGTATTTTGGATATTAATGAATCACGATACAATGATGTCATAGAAAAAGTCTGTGATACAGAAGAGAAATGTGTAAACAATGAAAATTGTTATGGAATTTATGAAGAACACAATTATGTTATTCTTGACTCAGAAAATAATAATACTGATGTGTCAGCTGAAAATCACAGAAAGTGCACTTGGCCTGAAATGAAAATTAATCAGAATGATTACAAATTACACGGACAAGAGAAACAAGGCAGAATCAAGGAAGATTCGGTCCTTTGTGATAAGGCTCCTGCTGCAGATTTGGGAAAATTCATGATTGCAGAAACATTACGTGATATGGTGAGTACTTCAGGCTACATTTCTTTGTATACACTTCTGTTATTAGACAGTCTAATAGAATGTCAGGTAAGAAATGTAACTTTACCCATTTTAAATTACCCTGGAAGTAAACTACACTCTGTGATGCATATGGTATTTACTCTAGTACTTTTAGTACAACAGTCAAGCAAAATCTATTCATAATAGCTTAGAGTGGTTCCTTGTAAAAATTGCAGGTAATGGTGTGTGTAATGGAAGAGGATCAGGTGCAACTGAAGCAGCTGCCTTGTGTAGGACAAGAAGTTGATGTAGATACCCATCAGTCATTTTCATACAAGATGATCAGATCAGGTATGTTTAAAGAATTATATTCCCCTTCTTAAGCACTTTTTATTATAAAACCTTAACAGGGGTTTCAAGAGCTGGGCTTACATTCCCCTTTATTATTGACTCATGGGCTGTATGTTACAAACTAGTACAATTTACTTAACTTTCACAGAATAATAACTGAAATGCTACTAACTTTCTAGTGCAAACAGGGTCAGACATTATTCAATAATTCTCTAAAAATAGGAAATACTGCCTAGGAGAGAAGACGATGGGACATGGAGAAAACTGCATAAAGATGAGCTTAAAAATCTGTACTCCTCCCCCAATATTGTCAGGGTGATTAAGTTGAGAAGAATGAGATGGGTGGGGCATGTGGTGTGCACGGATGGGGCAAGAGGTGTGCACCGGGTATTGGTCGGGAAGCCTAAAGGGATGGGACAGCTGGGGAGACCTCGGTGTAGATGGGAGAATAATATCAGGCGGGTTCTATGGGAGATAGGAGTTGAAAGAGACTGGATTTTGTTGACCCTGGATGGGCCAGTGGAGGACTTTGGTTAGTTTGGTGATGAACCTTCAGGTTCCCTAAGCCACCTAGGTAGTTAAACTTTGGAAACACACTGATCCCTACCTGTATCAAACCCTGGAGTATAAACTATAATGTTTTATGTTAATATAGATGACCTTCCAGTTGTGCAAGATAATAGAAGAGCTGAACCTCAAGATTATAGTGATGAAGTGATGAGAGAAATGAACTGTGAAAAGCGTATTGAAAGGGATGAATACATTCAAAAGAAGAAGCCCAAAGGGAAGGCTAAGTTTATTGGGCAATCAAAAGCTGAAAAGGTATTGACTTAAATATATAATTGTATAAAACATACTGGTAAACCTTGTGTTATTTACAATATTGGAAATTCTGTAACTAATTGAACTATGAGGTGTGAAGTCTTAATTTTTTTTAATTCACTACGAGTTTCTTTTATAGGAAATGGCTATCCATTTGATTGAAATGATGAAACGGAAAGGTAACAGTGAGTCTCTTGAATGCTACATTTGCAACCCACCTCGCTCATTTACTGCACCAACTACTCTTATTAGCCATTACAGGAGTCATGCAGGTAAGAATTCAGTACCCTTCCTGTTGAACTGTCGGAAATGTACCTATCAAATTTATGCTCACATTTTTCAGATGCAGACATGAACATTTTGTGAATGACTAAATGAAAGATGTATTTCACTAAAAGTTTGTAGATCGCTAGCTGTAATCACAACATCCTCTCTTTAAGGTGCAGATAATTGTAAAATAAATTGTATGACTATTCACTGGTAATTTTAACCTAGAATCTCTGAATAAAATGTGGACTGCTATGGATGAATTTATCCCCCCTCCCATACAAAAATTTTGAAACGATCAGACCAGCAGCTTAGTTTATATTCCTTTTTTATTTTATTCCCACTTCTTTTTAAGATACTGGTAAAATGCATTGAGTTAAAGGTAGACATTTTTTAACACACTGTACCATACCTTTAGAATGATGCAACCTTTGTGATAGTAAAATCATGTTGCCCCTTTAAGTTGACAACTCTGAAACAAATGCAGAACAGACCTAGAATGGGCCACTGTAATGAGGTGAAAATGAAGTTAAGTTTGTACTTAAGAATTTTCTCTGAATAATTAAAGAATTATGTTTACTGAAAACTTTCCACTGAGAAACAACTTTGTCATATGACATTTGAATTTCATCTCTGACAGAAGAAAGCATCCATTTAAAGGAGACCCAGGTGATTATTGAATTTTTCTCTTTTCCACAAGTTTTTCAAATTCATTTATAAACTTCTGTTCCAGGCATCAAGCCCTATGAATGCCGAATTTGTCATTCAGTATTCACCAGGCAGCACAGTCTAAACTACCACATGTTAATTCATTCAAACCAGACACGTTTCACATGCGCTGATTGTGGCCGCAAGTTCAGACATCCATCTCATTTCAAGGAACACAGGCGTCGCCACACAGGGGAATCTCCATATGAATGCTCAGATTGCATGCTTCGGTTAGTGTATTTAAAATATTTCATAAAATCAGCTTTTGTATGGGTGGGGATCTCAAACTTATCTTTACTTGGTTCTTGTATATATCTGCTTCATAATTTTAAAAAAAACAAATAATTTATTACTCATATTACTCATGATAGCAAGTAGCCAATGTGTTTATGAAAATTTCAAATAATTTATTACTCATGATAACAAGTAGCCAATGTGTTTATGAAAATTTGATCATAGAAATTTTAATTGCATGTCCAACATATATTCTAAATATATAAATTGTTCTGAGTTGGGGTTTAAAAAGTAATATAACATGCATGCAGAAGAATTATGAATAAATGTATTTTGAGGAAGTTAACAGTTACAAATATTTTCATGTCTTAGGTTCAAGACCCGTAACACTTACAAACGGCATCTGAAAACTCGTCACGGGAAGGTATTGACAACTTCTGGTGGCCTTATCATTTTGTCAGAGGAGGAGTTTCGTCGTGTCAGGACTCTACCTCGTTCCCCTCACAGCACTGCAGCTGTACATGTAAAACAGGAACTACACAATGGGAAGAAGAGATCTCGCAAAGGAAAAGGGCGATTTAAAGTTGGTGGTAAAAGGAAACAGTTGGAACCATGCGATGTAATGAATGAGGAAGATGAAGAGGAAGAAATTGGTTTTAATTTTAACAGAGAAATCAGTCATCAGTCAAAAGCATGTGTCACAACTCCTACTAACAAAGATGATGATGAAGAAAAAGAAGATGCAAGTTGTGTCGGTAATGTCGAAAGTGAGGTTACATTGCCAATGACTGAATCTGAACCACCCCAGAAATCTTTCCAAGATATTGTGGAAGAAGCCATGAGACAGAGCAATATTTCTTTCACAGATGATCTAGAAAATGATAAAGCCAATTTGGTTATGTTGGATGTACCTATTACTAACACTGAAAATGTATATGGGCCAAAAGACAAGGCATTTGAGACCCATGAAGTAAATAAGCAAGGGTTAGGTTTTCCCATCAAGAGTAGCTGGAACACAGATAATGTTAATCTAAAAAGCCCAAACGAAGGAAAGATGTACACAGCAAGAAACAAATCAGGCCGAGAGTTAGTTAATAGAAGTGCTAAAAAGAATGTTGCTCACTTACAGGCTAAGACAAAGAAGTCATTGATATTGCCTAATAACGTTGGATTTAATCCCCTGATGATTAAGACAGGAATTCACCAAGCACAAAATTTACCCACAATCCTGTCTAGTAGCGTGCAGACATCTCCCTTTAGCTCCTCCACTTCATCATCATCGGCATCATTCCTTTCACCTCAGTGCGAAGTGGACAAGAAAAGTCCAGTCTCAACACAGTCAGATGCTAAAGTTTTGAACGTAGTTGGATCAGACAGGGTGAGTATTATCAGTGCTAACTCACAACAAGCTACAATCATGCTCATAGCTGATGAATGTAACAGTTTCACTGCAGTATCAAATCAGAATTATATTTTAAAGGGTCTCAGAATTAACTCTGATAAGAAAACACTGTAAAAATGTCACAAATATGATGGAGTTTTAAGTGATGAAGATGGTAATGGACATGAATCATAAATTAGCTTGAGATGCCTTAACCACAGTATAATGACACTAATGGTTACATGAACCCACTATAACATTTCCCAGGGAAATTATCTCAGTGTTGTGAGGAGTACAGAAATGGTCTAAAGGTATCAGGAAGTTTTAAGTAGGGCAATGTGACATTAAACTCACATTACCAACTAGTTTTTTTTCTTTGAAAGAAAGCACATGAAATGACATTATTGATAATGTTTCTCTGACTTTTATATGAATAATATTTAAAATTATGTAGTAATGAATAGCATCATTCCAATTTTGTAGTTTTTGTAATACCCTAAATTTAGTAGTAGGTGTACTGTGTACGTGGATATGTACATATTTCAGCATCGAAGTAAGAATGCATATAATCGACAGAAGCTGTACATCTGCAGTTATCGAAACTTTGTATCTGAATTTATTCAAGACTGAACATATTTTGACAAAACGTTGCAGTGAGAAGAACATACAATATGGTTTCTTTAAAATGTACTATTTCTGTGGTAACTTTTCAACTGCATTAAAGAAATACTAGTTACTTTTTATACTCAGAATATAAGGACAAGAGTATATTTTTGAAGATACATTTATTTGGATAGTGTTACTAGTTGTCGTTATTGCATAAAGAAACACTTTCTATTCTGCAAATGTTTTATACTTGCAATTATATGTTTGTTAAATATGAATTGGGGCTGTTTTTTGATACCTAACAAAATTATGCCCAAAACTATAATTAAAAATATAACAAAATATACATTTATTGAAATTAAAACAGAGCTGGGATACTTCAGATGGTATACTGACTATATTATGAGCTGGCTGTCCAGGATTTGATTCCCTGCAAGGCCATATATTTAGTCTCATATCACACGTCCCCATGGCACAGTGCTTAATTAAGCGCAGATATATCTTCATGGCATGTTCCTTCATTAAAGGCAGGGACAAATTTATCTTTAACTTTAAAGCAGAATATATTTGAAACTGCAGTTGAACTTGATTACAACACCTTGGCCATAACACTGGATACCACTTGGTTCCCTCAGAATGCTCTTTAACCTTTAATCATACAGAAATAAGGGGTTTAAATCCCCATAATACAGGGCTGATAATTGGGCTTAAATCTAGGATTTAAAGTGGTTTGCAACTGCAACATAAAGCCAGCTGGAATGCACATAATCTCTGATGCATAGCTAATAAAGGTTAAAAATGTATCTTCACCATTTTCATGTTTCTCACATGAATTTTTTTAGAGTCCTCAAAAAAGAGTGGTTTACAAAGCTGTCCAAACATATTTTGGCAAAATAAGTTGTTACAGATGGGCACTTAGGTTAAACTATAAGATGTGAAAGTCATGGAGCATACAACCATTGTTAACACAAGCCCACCAAGTTACTATTACCTGAAAGTATGGCCTCAAAGTTGTAAATAGTGGTTAGCTCAAGTTTCTTCCATAACACCCAAGTGTAACTGAAGTTATTCGGTAGAGATATATTTTCTTAATCTAGGTAAACATGTTTAAAAACAATGTCTGTGTTTCCATTTATTACATCTGTATTGTTTATGGTAATGGTCTTCCTTAATAGTGTTGTTTATTATTATATATAGAGAACAGTATTTAGAATAAGGAATTTTTATATGATTTTATATTATGCAGTAAAACATTTTCTAAGGAAACCAATTTTATATTTTGTGTAACCGAGGGCTCAGAATATACCTGTGCAAGTTATTATAGCTGGAGAAGGTATTAACAATAAACAAGAGGTGTCTTATGGCTATCATTGATGTTATGATTGTGTTATGTTGTAATATCCAGTATTTTCCCAACCTTTTCTATATATTCTTTTCCTAACTGAGGTTATCAGTGCTTCTCCTTAGTTGTAATGCAAATTCCAGGATATAATTCAAAAAGGGCATGGGCCACCTTCCTCAGTCATGGAGGCCTTCATCCAAAGTATAAATCCCTGGGTACTGATCAGATTCTGGATAAACTGATCAAAGCAGGAGGTGAAACGTTGTGCTCCGACATACATACACTTCTTTGTTCTATATGGTAGGAGGAGGAAGTTTCAGAGCAGTGGAAAGAATCTATTATTATACCAATTCATAAAAAGAGTAATAAGACATTGTAATAGTTATCAAGGAATCTCTCTCATAATCTGCCTACAAAATTTTATCCAACATTCTTCTGCCAATGAAATTATTGGGAATCATCAGTGTGGGTTCCATCGTAACAGATCTACAATTGAAAAGATTTTCTACAATTGCCAGATATTAAAGGAAAAGTGGGAGTACAATGGGATGGTCCGTCAACTACTTATAGACTTCAAGAAAGCCTATGACTCAGTTAAAAGAGAAACACTTTACAACATTTTGCTTGAATCTGGTGTAACTAAGAAGCTAGTCAGGCCAATTAAAATGTGTTTAAGTGTACCTCTAGTACAATCTGTGTAGGCAAACTTTTATCTGATACATTTCCTATTCAGAATGGCCTGAAACAGGGAGATGTTCTATTGCTGCAGTTTTACAATTTTGCCTTAGAATATGCCATTAGGAAATTCCAAGAAAATCAGGGCAGTTTGGAACTGAATGGAACATCAACTATTGGTCTATGCAGATGATATTAATCTGTTGGGCGATAATATAAATACTCTACAAGCACACAAAGAAGAACTCTTAAGGGCTGGTAGGGATGTTGGTCTACAAATAAATGCAAAGAAGACAAAGTATATGGTCAAGTATAGGCATCATAATTCATGACAAAACCAGGATATAAGGAGAGCTAATGAAGTGTTCCAAAATGTGACAATATTCAAGTACTTGGGGATGACACTAACAAGCCAGAATGACATTCATGACAAAATATGTCAATTTGTATATTATATATTCTACAACCTTGGTTTAGGACTATGAAGGATGTACGGATTGTGAAAAAATTCTATTCTAATGCCAACCATTTATATTATTATGCCAACAAGTACCTGTCACCTTCTTGATCGGCTTAAGAGCTTCGTGTTCCTCCGTGAATCAAGCAACTTTCCACACTTCATACATATGTGACGGAATACTGCGCACAGGAACAGCATCACAGATGATAACAAATGTCACCAACTTTGAGAGCAATGTGATTTTACAGAAATTGGCAGCATTGAATATTGGTGTAATCCGTTTTTGTTTCTTTTTTCGATGTTCTATGGTTGCACTTAACCAATGTTAGTATTAAACGAGACCAATGGTTGAAGTAATGTGGTTTTATATGCTAGGTTAGCGTGCATCATCTACACAAGTATCACTAGTTTCGCGGAAATGATGTTTGGGAGCAAATGTTTCTTTCAGCTTTTTGACATTTTCAGGTATGTAACAGAAATATATGAAATTCTGAAGTAAATGTTTTACGACCACACGAAGTCTCTAAAATTGTTTTATACCTTGAGTTCATTTTGGGAAGTAGACAAGAAAACTGTCAGACATAGGTTATCTTAGCGTGCGTATAATGATGGTCAAACCTATTACATCAAACTGTATTTAGCAATGTAACTGGATTCAGGATTATTGAACCTTGATAGTTGCATGACTGCATTATGCCCCTGTAAGGTAGGCAGAGGCAAATCATTCGTTATTAGCACATTTCTGTAATAGTTGCACAGTGTGACAGTTCTTGGATTAGATGCCACAAGGGCCTCATCCAGCCAGTACACGCAGTATGGCTGTAACATCTAGAATTGCTCAACAAATGAAAAGTAAAAAGCCAGCATGTGAAGACATAGCTCTGGTCAAGAAACACTTTAGATCCAACTTGGATGTCTCACTTTTATTATAATGCTATCATGGACTAATTTTTTGTATTTGTGTTCAGACAGGGAAGCTGTAAGGCTCTACCATTCAGTACAAGACTGTTACACTCTGGTGGTGCGACACAAACATTCTCTGGTCAACTAACATCTGGATTCAAGAGCTTGAATCTTCTCCAAATTGTAAAGAACAGATTCAACTACACATCTGTTACACCCCTGTCACAATTAGCTGGAAGGAACACTTTACAACAGTCTCATCCTGTCCTTGGGCAACCAGTTACACATCAACTATGCAGAAGTGAAATTAGCAAACATTTGCAAGGAAATGGGGCTTGGGGATATATATTTGTGCGTACTAATGTTAGATGCCATTTCCCCAGACCATCCGAGTTTAAGAGAATTAAAAGACATGGCTTGAAAGTACGCATGTCAACTGCTGCAGGAAGAAGAATCATCATGCGTAGAATTCTGAAGGGAAGACATGTTCTTTCTCATTAATAGTACTGCAATCATACTGTAGTTAATTGTATTTTACAGAAAAATTATATCAATAAATACATCTTACAAAACAATGTACCGTGTAATTGATCAACAGTTATTATCTGTCATGACTTACAGCATAACTGATATTTTCTGCATCATAAGCAGGATGAAGACCCAGAGATTTACAGGTCCACTGAAAGCTACTTGGAAGAGGTGCTTCAATTATTAAGTCACTATCTTTTCCCAGATAGTGCGGCAGAATTAGTCTTCTAAGATGTAAATGGGTTGGTATGATTATTTCTTGGCCAGGTTTAATTGATAGCGCTTCTAGCAGCTTTTGTGGCAGGTTCTGAAATGTTACATTGGAATCACACGAGAAGTCTTTACTAAACACTGTTTCTTTCATTAATTCACATTATATTAAAATAGTAAATAACCATACCTGCTGAAATAATCCCCCCTCCCAAATTTAGCATGGGATATATTAAAGATGAGTAGTAATTAGTTACTGGTAATTCACAACCACAGCATAGTTACCATTATTTTAAGTAAATAAAATATTAGAAGTTTTTTGTTCTGCAATACACAAAATATTTTTTATAAAAATGTTTGCAATGAAATCCCTTACTAGTGTTTCACCATAAAATTCTATCTCAAACTCAAGGTCCTCACATAAGTGAAGATGTTAATTGTGGTCTTCTGTGTTATAACTTCTACCTGGAACATAGAGACGAAGGTACTTCGTTCCAAAATGGCAACCATCCGATCTTTGCATGTTTGCAGCACAAACTGAAGTTGAACTTTCAATATTAATACAGCAATCTTGGTGCGTTTTGAACACGAACTGAAGCTTAAAGCATGCCTTGTGTTGAATTTGCAATAGTAGAGCAGTAATCTTTGTGTTTGGAATGCAGACTCATTATGACTCAGAATCTAATTTGTATGCAACTTACACAATAGGCTACACTTGACTCTCAGTTATCCACAACAATGGTGGAGAGAACTGGCAGAAATAACTGAAAACCGCAGATAGTCAAACAAGATTATTAAAGGTGAAGTTGTCCATGGAGCTTAATTAAGCACCATGACTAACATACAAGAAGCTGTAGTGTAATTCCAAACATTCTTAACCTTAGCACTACATGGAGGTAAATGGTTACCTTCACACTTGGAAAAAATCCTGCCCTGCCAGGAATTGAATACTGGTCCTACAGCTTAGAGCTTAGTTACTATACTTCCTGATCTATTCCAAGTGATGGATGAGACTAGTAATTCGCTTAGAACTTTAATCCTTCAATCCTGCCAAGAGATGGCTGACCTGTCTCCCACAATTAACACTTGTTTATTCACCTCCCTGCAAAGAAGCCCATACATAAACGCAAACCTCTGGATGTGAAAATTAAGGTTTTAAATGTAACAGGATATCCAAATTGGAGCTTGCATACATTACAAAAGCATGGGGCAGGCATGCTGAAGCGAAAAGAACAGCAAGCCTGGAGGGAACGTGATAAAAGGGGTGGAACAAGACATAATCAAAATGGAAACAGTTAATAAATGGACATTCAGTTACTTTGATGAAACAAGGAAAGACATGCTTGTTACAACCAGAATTATCCAGCAGTGGGCATTAGCAGCAACTTGGAAATTTTCATCATCTGATTTTGAGTTTGTAGCTTCACTATATTGGTAAAGGATTTTAAGACTTCTTAACAAATTTAGCAATGCATAGTTACTTGATATTAAAACCTGAAAGACAATGCATCTCTTGAGGAAACCCTTAATTCAGCACGACTACTTCAGAAATTTGAAAATCTGATGAACTTTATACTTAACACTGATCAAACTGGGTGTGAATACAGAGGGAATGTTGAGGACATGTTAATAGACACCTGAGAGAAAGCTGTGAAGTAAATAGTGGAACAGTAATAAAGGTATCCATTCATATATAGCGCCATATGCAATTACAGCTTCTTGTAAATCACTGCCATCAGTCTTGTTCCCTTCATCTGCACACAGCACGGACTGTCAGTGATAAACAAGCTCAAAATTAACTAAATCTTTAAAACCTTTTTCTCCTTTGTGGTTGCACTTTTTCATGTAAGTCATTCAAAAATCGTAGTGATTCTTGATGTAAAATGCTCACAAAACTTTCTTAAGGTAAAATACCATTATACACACAAATACACACAGTTATCAGAACTTCTGATGGAATAAATATATTTACCTTCGGGCCTCTAGCAGCATCACTGCATGGGTTAATGGCAAGAGGCACACCCATCACCTGATGTACCCGAGATCCATACATATTGTCACCCAACACAGGACTCAGCAAGTGTGCAAGGTACACACGAAGGAAATGCCATTTGGTAGCAGATGGGCATATCTCTACTAGACTTGCGAAGTTCTGTCTGTACAATGTGTGATGTTCTACCCTAAACACCTTCACATCTCCTTGTTTCACAGCTTTGTTTGACCACTTCTGCATGACTACAGGCTGAACATAAAATCAAATGTTTGCTATGAATAGTCAGCCAAGTTGATATATCACATTCGACTGAGGAATGTAATACTACTTGATCTGCAGTGCCCTGTGTTGATGGGTGTATCTGAACATACAATATTCATACATTTGTCTCTCATACTTTGAGTGGTGATATCTCAGTATAAATATATAAGAGAGTAACTTAAAATGACATTCTTTTATGAAAGCAGTAAAAAATAATATGCAACAAAAGGGTCAAGAACTCTGTGGTACTGAAATCAGTGTCTGACCTCCAAACTGGCTCAAGATTGAATTTACACATACCTGTTTGTCATTACTTATACACGGATTTTCTTTAAGTGTCAAGCCTAATTTGAGAAATGCTGAATCTGGTTGAGGATTTCCTATGACAACAGCCCAATAATGGGCACATAACTGTTGACGACCACTGGCTTTCTTTATACATTTTTTAACTTTCTCCAACACTTTTTCACAAGATGACAACACTGTTACCCCACTCGTATACCTGTGAATAAAAATACTCTCAGTATCACTGTTTATGACTTTACATTTCTAACTTTAGATATTGATATAAACATAAGAGTAAAGAGGTAAAGGATGAAGATAAAAATATTCTGATAGTTTTTATGCATCTTGCGCATTACTGCAAGATCAAGAAACCAGAGTTCATGATTTTAAGTTTGCCAAGGAATGGAAAGGAATACTACAAAGCACTTCTTCGCCTCATATGAGTAATATAACTGAGTGTTTAAAAGATATATATATATATAAACATAATTACTCATCAATGCCATCTGGTACTGAAGCACATTAAGATATGATGCTTCGGACTGAGAAGGGGATGCTTTAATTACATCCTCATAAACTTGAAGTTAGAAATAATTTCCATCTACTTTTATTCAAGTTTTAAATCCCAATCATAAACATACTTTCTAATATGGAATTTCACTTGTGTGATTACAGTTTCAATTAGGCATAGAAAAGAGAGACAACAGGCAGTGACGTGGAAGGATTGATTCGGCAGCATCTGTTCAATGTTGGTTTTGTATAAATTAAGGAAAGAAGCACCAATAAATATAACCACTTATATGGTATAAATAATATCTTACAAACTTGATGGATTTTCAATATGCAAAAGACAGGAAGACATGAAATGAAAAAAAACCATCAAACAAATTTACATTGATTCCAGCATTGTCCTATGTTGATTTAGTGAGCAAGCACAGAAGTTGGTAGTTTTTATCAGAGGACTACATGATGGGTACTAAGTAAGAGACTGAATAAAACTGGTGCAAAATATAAACATTTGCTAATCCTAAGTACTGGAGCCCAGAAAATTCACACTAAATTTCTGAACATGTGTGCTCTAAGCTTAATATTTTTTGCTGTTAGTATAACAGGTTTATGGAATGTTCAGCTTTGCTGAGAATACCATAACTAGTCATACCTAAGCAGTACAGAACTTCTGGTTCCATTGACAGATTTAAACAGGAAACAAGATGGACTCCCCCTCCTTCCAATTATCATATAAATGCAACAGTATCAAAAACAAATTTTCTCACAAAAAGGAAAGTTCACGGTAGTGTCATTCGTTGGCCATCCAAATCACCAGATTTTATGCAATCTGATTTTTTTCCATTGGGGATTTACAAATGATTTAACAAACAATATTCTGCTAGGGTACCACAGTAATCTCAAGGTGAACTACTTCAATGGGGAAAACAAGGAACACTGATATAAATTTGGTCAAGAATTTAATTTCAATGGGGTTGAAACCTTGAAGCTGGAGGAATCTTTTAGCCTAAAACATTATCTCCTCTATCTGGATGAGTTTATTTCCACTGGGACACTTGTCATATATGTGGCATGTTTGTAGGATGTCCACCCAGTCCGGTGACATCTACTTTAATTGCTATTAAATGTTGACAGATAAATGCTGAAACAATTTGTGTTGAATTATGGGTATGAAATATAATGTGAAATTCTGTGATAATTTTGTTGCATTTATTTTGAAATTTATTAATTGATTTCATGTAGATATTTTGAGAAAACAAAATCTAGTAGAATGTGAATTAAATAAGCAAACTGAAATATTATTTACAATGAAGCACAATTCCAGAATATAGTAAAAGAATATCTACTGAGTGCTGGATATAAAAACAAGCACAAACCTTTCTGGTTTCTTGAGGACAGTCAAACTGTTGTAGCCTAAATTTCCAGCTATGTGTGGTAGAGCCTCAGTTAGATAGTACTGTTTTTGCCCAACAAGTATGTTACCTCTGCGTCTTGAATGTTGTGTTGCCATTTCAGGTGGAGGTGAAAATCCTATTCCATATGGCTTGTTTAGAACTATGAGGTCATCTGAAAAACACAAATATGATGGGAACATTGAACTTTCCTTCCACGCAACAGTAGTTATCAGCTTTACCAGTTCTTGTATGAAAGTTTTTGTTCAATGTGTAACTTCAGCTTCTAGGGTAGAGCTGCATCGAATGTTGAGAATTATCCAATATTTCAGCAATCACTGTAGCTGTCATATTTGGGATGAATGTGTAGTGGTTGAGCAAATGGCCTCTCTTACACTCAACCAATTGGCACCATCATATCCAATTTGCCACCCACTGCCTGCCCTATATAAGGCTTCCAAAAACACCCAATCACTGTAACTTGAAGATGGCAACTACAATGTTTGCTAAAATTGATAATTCTCAGCATCTGACAACTGTTAACCACGACAACCAAAGTTACACATCTTTACCAGTTGTTTTATATAGATGTATCTCACAGTAAGGGAATAAGATTTTGGGAACAGGGTGCTGAGAAGAAAACTTGGACCAATAAGATAGAAAATAACATCAGGCTACAGAAAACTGCATACTAGGGAGCTTCATAATTTTGCTACTGAGAACAAGAAATGTCCTAGTTTAAATACAGATTTTGACAAATTAATACAGGAAGTAGAAGCAAACAAATTCATTGGCTTACAAATTGCACATTAAATACATTATTCAGCTTCCAGCAATTCTAGCAGTTGATTCAAAATGGTGTATATTTATCAAATACTAATGTCACCAACACCCAAGACTATGACATTGTTCAGAATTTTCTTTAAATTCAACTTCAAGAACAGATCACGGATCTTCGATGGAACCAGTGGGCCAAATATAATTTTCTACTAACGAATATTATTAGTAGAAATTACGCTGTACTTGCCTTTATTATAGATTATATTTGATGTGAGAGAATCTGAAAATTGTTTCAAACTCCTCCATGGGTTTTGTTTTTGATATTCATGACACTGTTCCCCTTCTTTTTCAGTTTTGTAATTTGAATAGCATCGACAGATAGAGAGACCTCGACTCTTCATTCCTACACGCAATCCAATTACTGCCATGCCGTAATTTTTATTCATAAACGGAAAGGTTAAAATCGTCGACAAATCAACGTATAACAAACATACTGCAAAATAAATGTATATGGCAGGACACATGCGCGACCTAACGGTACAGTTGAGTTCTATGTGACAATCTGTGGTACAATTCCTGCCAACCTGTAAGGTTTGCCAATTGTGCAATGTGGTAGTGGATGAAAAGTTTGTAGGTTAGGTGCTATAGCATTTATTCAAGGAAAATGAAGAATCTTTTCTTACATTATCACTCTCGTAATGAATTTCCGACCGTTAGTAGCATCGAGTGCTTCTGTGTCAGTGCTCATTCTGAAGAAGTATATGTTTGCAGTAATAACATAATTTACAAATTATCAGTTACAAGTGGACTCCTGAAAACTTTGTTCAGCCTTCATGAATATTACGACACAGTTATTCCTGCAGTTATACATATAAGTTTCAATTCAATAACGGAGAGCCTTTACCTAGCGTTTAAAAATGGGGATGTTTTAACATTTGAATCCAGTTCCAAAGAGATCCAATGTGTGGGATGTGTAGAAAGTGGTTTAAAAACAGTACAATGGAGCCCAGATCAAGAAGTAATTGTTATGGTAACTGGTAAGGATACAGTCATACTTATGACTGGAAATTTTGATCCAGTTACAGAGGTTGATCTCCATCAGAGTGGTTTTGGAGAAAAACAATTTATCACTGTGGGATGGGGAAAGAAAGAAACCCAGTTTCATGGTTCAGAGGGTAAAGCTGCAGCTTATGCCATTCCAAAATCACTTGAACATCTGCCAGTTTTGGACGATGGTCAGCCACAAATTAGTTGGAAAGGTGATGGAAGCCTCTTTGCCGTAAGCACGGTTAGACCAGAAGCAAACTCTCGAAAAATATTAATATTTTCGCGTGACGCTGTGTTACAATATACAAGTGAGCCTACAGCAGGATTGGAGGAAGCAATGTCTTGGCAACCATCAGGCAGTCTTATTGCTGTATCACAAAGGTTCCCCAATAAACATGTTATAGCCTTTTTTGAAAAAAATGGACTCCGACATGGAGAATTTTCACTTCCATTTGCCCAGAATGAATGTAAGATACATAATCTTTCTTGGAATTCTGAATCATCTATACTTGCTGTGTGGTGTGAGTACATTACAGGTAAAACATGTCTTCAACTTTGGACAGTGAATAATTATCATTGGTATCTGAAGCAATGTGTCAACTTCTCAGCTGAAAAGAAACTTTTGGGAATAGAATGGGATATGCTGCACAGGAACCGTCTTCATATAATGTGTGAGGGTTTGTGCTACATGTGCTATGACTGGAAATGGATTACAAACTGTAGTCAAGGCAGTACTAAAGCTGATGGAGCCTTTGTAGCAGTAATAGATGGAGGTAAGAATGAAATGTTTAAAAATATTGTAATAACATCTTATTTACGTAGCAGTCTCATTAAATACTTTTTTCTTCACAGCCAAGATTCTCTTGACATCATTTCGACATGCAGTTATTCCACCGCCACTCTGTGGCCAGACCCTGCAGGTATCAGTTCCAGTAAATTGCATAATGTTTGCACCTTGCAAGAAAGTTAACAACAGTTGTATCACAGATAGAGCAGATGATAATAAAATCAATTCAAATACCTTATGCACTATTCTGACTGATGGAAGTGTGGTAGTGTTTTCTGAATCATCATCAACTAAATGTCATGTACAACTGGCTGCTTGCAATTTGAATGGTGAAAATGCAGCAGAATTACATCACTGGTTGTGGATGACAGAAGATACATTCCTTTGTTGTCGAACACATGGCTCAGTTTCATATTTGGTGGAAATATCAGTCGATCTTAATGCAGGAAAAATGAATGTCAGGTGAGATATGTAATTTTCATTATTGCTATTGGTTGATGCATGCAGTTATGTTTTATGACTTTATGCAGAATAGTTTCCTTGCTGTTGAATAAGTAAACTTTTATCTGTAGTAAATTAAAATAAAGATCAATGATGGCTGCTAAGACAGTGCATACTCCATACAGGCACATCTTTGTAGTTGTGGTTTTACATGCGTGTGCTGTTTTAACCATTTTGCTTAGAAAAAATTTATGAAAGAAGTAATGTTATTTGTATTTCAGGAAGGAGATTCACACCAATGGCATAGTAGTTTCTATAGTGCTGATACCAGATGGTTCAGGAGCTGTTGTGCAGCTGGCAGATGGCATTTTGTTTCTATATAAATTTGATCAGGATAAATTGGTTCAGTATTCAAAAGTACCTGAAGCATGCGAGACTTTACAGGTATTGTAACAGCCTTAGCATTTAGAATCCTTGCTCTTCATTGTTATCCTTTCAGCTTTTGAACTGGACACCTGGGCTAACCAAGAAAGTTGTAAAATCTGAAATAATAAAGAAAATGCCAGATCAACTATGTTCAACTTATATCTTAATTTTTCACAGTTTTAATAAAGTGTGAATTAGCCCACTGTTGCTCCCAAGTTTTCAATTATTATGAACTTGAGCTTGAATTTGTGATGCTGGAATTCAGGCGACTTGCATTCAAGCTACATGACTACTATGAACAAGCCTTTAATGTTGGCTCTTAATTAAAGTTAATTTCACACTATAATTTCTCATGTTTGCCTAATAACATTCACTTTTGCTGTCAGGATGTTTGTCATCCCAGCAGTAAACGCAGATTTAATAGTAATACTGGTAATAAGGCATGTTGTAACAATGTGAAAAAAGAAAACTAACTTAATTCTAAAAGAAGTATAATGTAAAACTGATCTGATTATAGGTTACTCTGATAGATGGGAAGGATGTATTACTGGGACTCAGTAATCGTAATCGCTTATATGTGGATGGTCAAGAAGTAGCAAACAATGTGACTTCATTAGTGGTACATTCAGAATTCATCCTACTGACCACTCTGAGGCACATGCTATTGTGTGTTCAATTAAATCTCAAGGGTTTGCAATCTTTAATAAAAGGGCAGTGTAGCCCAGGACGGCACATTGAGAGAGGTGCACGTCTGGTGACCTCTGTTGCAGGAGATACTAGTGTCATACTACAAATGCCAAGAGGAAATCTAGAATGTATACAGCCACGACCTCTTACGCTTCATGTAGCAACTGTTTATCTTGATTCTGGACAGTATGGGGCAGCTTTTAAACTTCTCCGGAAACAGCGCATCAATCTGAATCTCCTATGTGACCATCAACCTACAGAATTCTTAGCAAATATAGATTTTGTTGTGGATGAACTTAAAGACCCCACATGGCTCTCACTGCTGCTCTCTGAACTACAGGAAGGCAGTGTGACACTCACTATGTATAAGGAATACTATACACATTTGGAGCAGCTACCTAGAATACTTAATAACAAGGTTTGTGTTTATTTTATTGGTATTGTCAGATTTGGACATTGCAAGATGTATATGGTGGTTATGAAGTCACTTAAAAGTGCTGCAGAATTTCTTGGTCAGAATTTCCCACGTTCACCCCCATTCACTAAACACCATCTCCCCGCAGAAATTTTTCAACAGAGTTACAAAACTGCCAACACAAAAAGACATTACAGTCTTCTGGCTTACTCGGCAAGGTAATATATATCTAAACAGAAAGTAACAAAATGGTGGCAGTCCCCGACTACTCAAAGAGGAAAAAAAAGGTGTATTGCTTTTGTTCACAACTGTGTTCTTGCTTTGCTGTTCATTATTACCTATTGTCACATATTAAAATCCATCACTGTTATCTTATAGGTCCAGGTGGTATGTGACGCAATGCGTGATGCTATGTTACGTCGGCAAGATGCAGACCGCTATCTGCTGCCTGTACTTACTAGCTATGTTCAAAAACAATCAGACAAGGATCTAGCAGATGCACTAATTAAGGTGAAAACTGTGAAAGAAGCAGAGAGAAGAAATGGACAGCTTGAAATTTCAGCTGATGAGGCATTAAAGTATCTTCTGTACCTGGTGGATGTAAATCGTTTGTATGATGTTGCACTGGGACTTTATGACTTTGACTTAGTCATGCTAGTTGCTGCCAAGTCTAACAAAGACCCTAAAGAATATCTACCATTCCTCAACAAGTTACGAAGGTCAGATTTTGGCATGAGAATAAGAACCATTAATGTTTTGTTACAAATATGCTACCACTGATGTGAGATTTTATTAAGCTATGCATTTTTTATTATTGTTTTCCTATCTACTAGTATTAATGAATAGGCTGGATCCTTATTGTTGTTTTGATAACTGCTGGAAGCTATGCACTAAAAGGATTTAAAATATATATTTTGTTGAAGGCTGTTTTTCTGGGAAAGTGTTCAGTCCTCTCTCAACTCCCGGTATTTCCTTGCTTCTCATAAATGGTTCTCATCTAATACACTGAACATAGATTATCTCAAAATTATACCTGTTTTACTAAAATAGTGGTATGGGAAGTAGCAAACACCTCTTACAACTGCAAATCTCATCTTCCCATGACATAACCCATTTTTACAAACAAGATTCTGACAAGTGAGTCATGATTAAATGTAGTTTAGTGGAAATGTTATTGCCTTCAGTGATAAAGTAATACTGGAAAACCACTGTGTCAGAATTTCCACTAAATTATCTTAATTTTATGTTTATTTAAGATGGAGTTTGTATTGATTCATTGCAGTATTGACAGCATTCATAATAAATGCATACAATAGCACTAGTTACTTTATGTTCCAGGATGGAACCAAATTATAGCTTCTTTCTCATAGACAAGCATTTGAAACGATTTGAATCAGCACTTTATCACATTTCACTCTGCCCCGAAGAGGAGTATTTTCAAGAATGTCTGGACCTCGTAAAGACACACAAACTTTTTTCCAAGGTAGGCATGTCACATGTAAACATTTAAGAAAACTTTGTTAAGATAATTCAGCTTTTGTTGGCCCTAATGTTTATTTGTATGCTACCTACTGACATGCATTTTTGTTGTTACCAGTACTACTGCCTGAGTCTGATAACTGTGCTTCATTTATCCGTACTTCCACGAACTGTCAGTGTGGAGCCCCTATTAAATAGTTAATAAGACTAAGCAACATCACTGAGGTACTCAAGCCCCACCACCACGACAAGGTGCAGGTACCATTAAGTGGGGCTTTTCCAACTATATTAGATTAAAAATTTGGTTACATCATGTATGATATAAAACTTTCACAGTGGTCCCTAAAACGTTGGCGACTTTAACCATTTGACACAGCTGATAGCCTGAGAGGATTTTATTAATTGGTTATGTCAGTTTCAGAATCTGTATACTTTTCAGGCTCTTGATGTTTTCCCTAAAGGAAGTTCAAGGTATCTGGATATAGCAACAGTCTATGCAGACTATCTTCTCGATAATAAATTATATCAGGAAGCAGGGATCATGTACGCGAGAGCTCAGAAATATCACAAAGCACTGACGGCATACCAGATAGCTGGTGACTGGAGAGAGACACTACTCGCTGCAAACCAACTTCAGTACAAGTAAGTTGTATGTTAAATGAAATTTTGCACATGATGAAAGAATAAAAGTACATATATATATCTGTGTGAACTCATTAGTCCATAAAACCTAATGGTAACTATATGAATTTCCTGCTTTAACAATAGAAAACCATACGCTGTGCCTAACTGTGTATTTATGGGTTTCATATAATTCTTAGATTAGATGCCAGTCATTTTTGTAAACAGCATTGACAAACTGATCTTTGTAATGGATACATGTTTTATTTAAGGCAGGAACTGAAGTCTTAATCATTACTTCGACAAGCTTCAACTTTAAAGGGTTATTAACACCATGGAGAAAGTATTTACTTTATTTATTTTAGTACTTTGTTCTTAAATGCCACTAGTCTCTGTTTCTCTGTGAATGAGAATAGTTTTACGTATTTGAACTTCATTTTCATTACAGAACCCTATAAATTTACCTTCTTGTATGTATTTCTAGAGAGAACAAGTTGCATGAATTGTGCCAGCAGTTAGTGTCAAGATTGAAAGGTAAATGTCAGTTCGGTGAAGCCGCAGAAGTTCTCAGTCATCATTTGGGTGATTTTGAGGAGAGCATTGCTGTATTGGTTCAAGGCAGGCTGTGGAATGAAGCTGTTTGGTCATCTTTTCATTACAGAAGGGCAGACATGATAGGTGAGTATATGATGAAGAACGTGTGATTTGTTTTAATGACGAAACGGAACAGGGCCATGATTTTTAGATGGCTGCTAGAGAAAGATGTGAGAATGGATCTGTTTCACAATCCATTTCTACTGAGCTCGTCTACTGTCAGTGCTTAACCTGTTCATTCTGCTACCAGAGAATTAATTAATTATGGGATTATCTCAGAAAAGCTTCTGTTACAGAGACTCACGTGAAGCCAGGAATATTGGAACACTTGGAACAGCTCTCTGGCCAGCTCACTAGTTCCAAAAAACAGTTCACTGCATATAAAACTAGACTAAATGCAGTGCGAACAGCTAAAGAGCAACTTCAGATAGAAGGTAAAAATATTGAAGTAATTTGCACAAAGATTTGATTTCAGATTTTGTATAAAAAGTTGACTAAATCATATATAATATAATAGAAAAATTTACTAAATGCATTTTATAGTGCTGTAGAATCGCTTAAATTTCTATTAAAATATAACTAATTAATATGTAAAACTAGTCCACATCTTGCTTCCGAATTACATTCTTACTATCACTTGTATTTCAGTGTGATGCATCGTTACTCTATCGATGTTCTGTATTTTCCGTTAGTTGCCTGACTGATAGAAATAGATGTTTATTGGAGAATACTGTATCCATAACAGAGCATACTCAGCAAAAAGAGAAACATAAGTGCCATCACTTTGGTATCAAACAGTTAATCTTGTAATATTTTACATTGGTTGATTTAAAATAACCTCGAATATTCAACTCGCATAAAATACAAGTCTGTAATTACTATCGCATGCCATAGTTTCTGTATGATATGAACAACTGTACAGACTAAATGAATTCTTCTCAGGCTGCCAGCCATGTAAGGTTGTTTAATGGAGAAAACACCAGTGTTTCGAGAACCATCTTTGTACTTGTCCTCAGGGTTTTCAAAACAGTGTTTTTCTATTAAATTACCTTACATGGCTGGTAGCCCGAGAAGAATTAATTATCTTTAGTTGCTGTGAAAGCTTCATATCATATATAACTATACAGACTGCTGAGTTTATGTAATTTATGAGGAACCTGTGTTGGAATTGGCCACAGGCAAAATATGCACTGTTTGAACATAACCGTAATTATATTCTCTTATTACTCTGAGCAATTTTTCTAGCAAGAGCGTTGTCTTCATATGTTTCAGAGAAAGATGGTGAACTACAGGAAGAATATGACTTATATTCAGATACAAGCAGTATTATGTCATCAACTCTCACTGCATCATACACAGGATCACACACATCAGGGTGATTACAATGATTATTGTCAGATATTCTGCTTGCATATTTCTGTGCATTTAATATTTAATGTGCCTGATATTTTAATATTATAGACACAGCCGCAGATCCAGTAAGAACAGACGTAAACATGAGCGAAAGATGCTAAGTCTTAAAGAAGGGAGTCCATATGAGGAGTTAGCACTGGTTCGAGCCTTGCATCAGGTCATTACAACTACTTACAATGCTACAGGTTTGTTACTAAATGCAGTATAGTGATTGGCATGACTGCTTTATATGCACAAGGTTCCTGGTTCAATTATTAGCCAGGCTGTTCTGAAATTTTTCTTGAATTTTTTCAGTACTTCCAGGCAAATATCATGATATTTCCCTGAAATAGGCTGTAAACACTTCTGCATCGTTCCAGCTTGTTGCAATGCCACCACCAACAGTAAATGCTACTACTGCTGTCACTAATTTCTGTTTCAAAGCTTCAACTATAAATTTATTGTTATGCTTAAACTAGTTACTACTAAAATATACTTTGTTGTAGATAATAATGTGATCAGATTAACAATTATTTGATTTTATTAATTTGCGCATTAAATTTTATATCGTCATTATATTCAAAGCGTTGTGGTGCACTTGGCAAAAGCTTGCAGCTCATGTTAGAACCACTGAAATAAACAAAGAAACATGTTATTTGCAATAATTTTATTATAAAGGGAGTAAGCATCACCAGTTTTAATAATTTAAAAATGTGTCTGGCTGAAGTTAACTAAAGGATATAAGAACAATAAGAGGGGAAATAATTTTCTTCATGGTCTTAAGTTGAATTTTCATGCGCTGTATATTTTTACAGAAGAAGTACAAAGCTTGTGTCTAGTATTGCTCAGATTTGACTTTGATAAGGAGGCAGCAAACTTGCAGAAGCTTCTTTCAGACCTGATACAAGAAATGGACAATGCGAAACATGAAATATGGACAACTGATCTGATGGAACAGCCACTAGTAGTGAGTTATTTGGTGCACTCCTTGGATTTGCATAAATGTGAACATAGAATAGGGTTACTATCACGTGCATTATGCCACAATTTGGAAATTAATTCTAGTGATAAATGTGGTTAAGAAGTTCTCTGCGAGCAGAAATTTAAAGTACAACCATGCATCTCAAGGTTGACACAATATTTTATTTTCACAGCATTCTTGCATCAGTAAAATATTCTCGGGTGATCAGCCGTGTCAAATGGTTAAACAGAGATGGTCCCTGAAATGTTGGTTTTATTGTTTAACCATTTATGAAGAAATTTTATAAATTTTATAAATTCAGTGTGTTAACTTTGACAGGTCATACTATGTTAGTATGAATATAATTACTTGATTTTCTTTTTGGGTAACCTTTAGAAGCTTGTTCTGATTGTGGAAATGATTACTGTTCTATGTTTATTGTAACAAGGTTTTGTTTTACTTTATTTCTCAGGGCTTTGGTCCTGATGCAACAGTCAACAGTTTAACAACAAGATTCCAGAATCAGGGTCTAACAAACTCCAACCTTGCACTATTAGGTAAGTTTTGAGAGATGTATATAAATAAGTGTCCCGTGCCGTAGCCGCGCGGTCTGAGGCATCATGCTTCGGGCCAGCGATACGGAATGTGCACCGGTTCGAGTCTCCGGGGAAAAGAAATTTTCTCGTGAGCTTTCGACCGGTGTATGGGGCCATTGCCAACCCAGCATCGTGAGGAAATTGGGGAGCTACAATGGGTAGCGTAATCCGGTCATGAAACCTAGCAATGGCTGGGGGTTTGTCTGCTGACTGCACGTCACCCTATATCAGGTTGGATGATCGTTCACCTCTGCTTAGGAATGTGAACGTGAGGCCAGCAGTCAAGCTAGTTGGCTTAGGCTGTCAGAGGGCTGTTATGCAACGGATTTATATGCACACTCACACTACACATTCACATGCACATGCATGCCACACTCTCTTTTACTGAATTATTTAGCAGCCATTTATCATTATTTTACACTTACATTCTTATCAACATCACTTATCTTTATTTTGTGAGAATTTTGCTTTTAATTGCCAGTATTCAAAGTGAGGTGGACCATATCACAGGTTACATGCATGGTCAGAAGCTGCACATAAGATTCAAAATGGGGAACTTACAAAAAAATCATATATTGAGAGCTTGATTGTGACTAGAAAATATGGAGGGATGACTATATTTATCTCAATAAGAGGTCTAAGATGATGCAAATTGATCTTTTACAGAACCAAATTTTAGATTTCCACCACAAAATAAAAATATCAGCTGGAAGGTCAGCATACTCAGCGCAGTGTGAAGAGATGGACACATTTGGTAACTACAGTCATTGGCACACAAGATCTGCAGGTTAATTTTATTATTTACAGATTTATAATTAATAATAATAATAATTCATTTCATTGATTTATGGTCCTTATAAAAGCCATAGAAGGCCAAGTACAGGATAAGAAATAATAAAACAAAATCTACAAATACAGTATGAAATGTACAGAGTATGGACAAAGATAAGCTAAAAGGAAGTCTAATTATATGTTATAAAATATCCATAAGCCAAATATATAATGTTTGTTAAAAATGACCATGGGCGCCTCGTAGTTACAGTAGGCGTTCAAAGTGGGCGTTATCCATTTCAAGGCGGAAAGCAATTGGTCAGATAGCTGGGGAAAGGCCAAAGTTAGTAAGCTTAACAGAATAGTAAATTATGAGGAAGAATGGAATATCGTCTAAACCAACGCTCGGACAGTTTTAGACAGTTTTCAGCCCTGCTGATTTAAACTGCATCATAATTGTTAAATTTCCGAAAGTAAGGAAGAATATTTTATTTTGTGGCAGTGGTATTTTCATGTGCTTTGTTTTACTTTTTACAACAGTGATGGTCAAATTTGGATTAATTATGAAACAGACCTTCACATTTAGTCATGATATATGTTAAACTATTGAAAGTGTGAACTATAATTTGGTAGGCAGCATTTTACCTGTTTCTGCATAACTCTGATTCCTCTAACTTGTATTGCTGCTTTTTAAATGAAATTAAATCTTTCAGATGTATAATGTAAAAGAAAATTTCACAAAAATAAAGCTAATAAAAATAAGTAAGAACAGTTTTTTAAAACTTTCAGTACTATAAAACACGTATGCAAAACAAAAAACGCAAGCCAATTACAGTGTTGCCAGATGTTTGCCGGGTGGTAACAGAGGAGAGGTGAGTCAAACGTGTTGGTACAAAGAAATACGATGTACCAATACTGAGAACATATAATTTTTAACGAGTGATTTAATACGAACATATTAAGCCTTGCATTTTTCTTGTTCTCAGACTTCTAATTGTTCCCAGTTTCTCGATACGTAAGCACAAAACAACACAGTTATAATAATGTAACCGACAATGGCACATCGCTGTCATCATCCTCTTTGCATTCCACGTCACATAATTCTGACAAGGGAATGGTCCGGTTGGTCATGTCGAAACCTCGCTTGAAATTTTGCTTGTCTGCAAAACACATCTAGTAATGATTGTACGCAAAATTTCAGCTGCAAAAAAATTGCTCAAAGTTGGAATGTTCAGTTAAAATTCGTGCCACCGCACACGTGCGTGACAGCAGCGTGTCAAAGCAGTCATCCCTGTAGGTTGTCTGTAACCATTGCTTCACAGGATAATAATTTCCACGGTTTACATATGAAAACAATTGTATTGTTTCAGTCAGCAATGCATTGAACATTATTTAATTATTCATTACCTTTAAACTGAAACATGTTGTTCATGTAATGCTGAACTTTAGCCGCCAGCTGGTAATATTCTAGATGCAGTGAAGGCAACTAGAAATTTTTGCAGGAAGAAAAAAAAAGAGAGAGAGAAGAAGCAGCTTTTCCCCTCGGTTTTTAAAATGGAGGTTTACCGATATAATCATAAACCTTTTGCGGAAACAATAATAAAAATTTGACTAACTGAAAGAAATAGGGCCTTTGTTGGTTGTTTAAATGGACCACGATTACCAGTGAAAACGTTAACTGGCATTCGATCATCTAATTTTTCACTGCCTCGCCACTGGCACGCTTGAATGGAAGGAAGCAAAATGGTAAGGCTGACACAATAGCTCATCACACACGATAGAAATGACAATATTTATGCGTGAAGTTAGCATCTCAAATCGATTCTCCCGTTGTTCAGTTTGTGACGTGTCACCTGCGTAGGTTTGACGTTTGTCAACTGCTGCCAAGTGCGGCTAAAAACCGAACTATTGGTAGCCACAGAGAGGACCATATAAGCAGGTTAATGACCAGTGCATGGCATTGGACTGAAGCTGGAGGAATAAATTTTTAATATTTGTGATCACCGTACCTGGCTCATAATTAGAGACCGTAATATTAAAATTATGCTCTATTCAAGCTATACTTATTTTTATATAGCCCATCTATGTATGTTTTCCCCATAGTGATTTTTGTATGTAAAATCGATGTTCATGAAATGTCATATGAAGACTTTCACTTTTTTGGTTTGGGGCTTTCCCTTCCCCGGTGTATTTGTTATGAGTTGATTACTTTGGCTACAAGGGTAGCCTTCGTTACCGTGGTTGGATTAGGTCAGGTTGGGGTGAAGAATGTTAGAGTGCGTTTGCCACCGCACACGTGCGTGACAGCAGCGTGTCAAAGCAGTCATCCCTGTAGGTTGTCTGTAACCATTGCTTCACAGGATAATAATTTCCACGGTTTACATATGAAAACAATTGTATTGTTTCAGTCAGCAATGCATTGAACATTATTTAATTATTCATTACCTTTAAACTGAAACATGTTGTTCATGTAATGCTGAACTTTAGCCGCCAGCTGGTAATATTCTAGATGCAGTGAAGGCAACTAGAAATTTTTGCAGGAAGAAAAAAAAAGAGAGAGAGAAGAAGCAGCTTTTCCCCTCGGTTTTTAAAATGGAGGTTTACCGATATAATCATAAACCTTTTGCGGAAACAATAATAAAAATTTGACTAACTGAAAGAAATAGGGCCTTTGTTGGTTGTTTAAATGGACCACGATTACCAGTGAAAACGTTAACTGGCATTCGATCATCTAATTTTTCACTGCCTCGCCACTGGCACGCTTGAATGGAAGGAAGCAAAATGGTAAGGCTGACACAATAGCTCATCACACACGATAGAAATGACAATATTTATGCGTGAAGTTAGCATCTCAAATCGATTCTCCCGTTGTTCAGTTTGTGACGTGTCACCTGCGTAGGTTTGACGTTTGTCAACTGCTGCCAAGTGCGGCTAAAAACCGAACTATTGGTAGCCACAGAGAGGACCATATAAGCAGGTTAATGACCAGTGCATGGCATTGGACTGAAGCTGGAGGAATAAATTTTTAATATTTGTGATCACCGTACCTGGCTCATAATTAGAGACCGTAATATTAAAATTATGCTCTATTCAAGCTATACTTATTTTTATATAGCCCATCTATGTATGTTTTCCCCATAGTGATTTTTGTATGTAAAATCGATGTTCATGAAATGTCATATGAAGACTTTCACTTTTTTGGTTTGGGGCTTTCCCTTCCCCGGTGTATTTGTTATGAGTTGATTACTTTGGCTACAAGGGTAGCCTTCGTTACCGTGGTTGGATTAGGTCAGGTTGGGGTGAAGAATGTTAGAGTGCGTTAAGTAATTTTATGTTATGTTGTAAGCTTAAAGAAGGTTAGGTTGTGTTAGGTTAATTTCGTCTGAGTTCGGAGAGGTTAGGTTAAACTAGTTTAGGTTAAGTAAGGTTGGTTAAACCATCTTGGTTTAGGCTAATTTGGGTTACTTGCCCCAGGGGTATCGGATGTGGCCCCGAAGTAATTAATATTATTAATATTTATTTACTGCAATTGGGTTTGCACCCGGTGGGAGTGGTCCTTACACTACACAATTACAACAAAATACATACAATAAAAACAAGTACACTCCATAGAACACCCTACACACGTAACTAGAACATCCACCTCTAAAAAAACATCCACACCTTACACGGACACACATACACACAATACAAAAACACACATCCATTAAGTAATCACGATACTTTAGAGTAAAATATAAAGTCAGACCTCTGTACACGATACTTGATACTTTTATCCCAAAGAATTAAAGTCACTTCATCACTTCGAGACTAAGACACTTCACTTACCATCATCTAATCCCCACTTAATAACCCTTAGCTTGTAACTACTTTTCTGACCCTGTTTCTAAATTTGCTTAATTTACAGGGGAAAGACGCTAGTAATCCTGGAGGTAATTGGTCCTATTTACAAAGAAATATTTGCCAACATCCGTTCTTTGTTTCCTAGTCCTAATTTTCCGACTATGATCGTCCCTGCCCAGGTAGCATGGCTTTAGTAATCTATCCTCTATTGTTTGCCAAGCCGTGCCCCCCGTGTATGCTTTGAAAAGGGCGCACATTCGGGCTATCATTCTACGCTGTGCCACTGTTTCCAAACCAGATTCGTTCGTGAAATTTGCAAATTTAGCCGCTCTCTTCTGCACCCGATTTAGGGCTCTTACCTGCCCTTCCCTGTAAGGGTCCCAACACACAGCTCCATATTCAAGTATCCGTCTCACTAGCGATGTATAAGCTAAAAGTTTCGTATAGTTATTTCCTTTTTTTAGTATACGCATTACGAAATGGAGAGCCTTCCATGCTTTAATTTGTGTATAATTTACATGATCTGCCCAGCTCAGATCGCTGCGAATAAGTATTCGAAAGTACTGAAAGCTATTTGCCCTAATGGAGGGGGTACTCTTGGGGATCCGATGTGGTGGGCTTCGGGGTGACCAGAGTGGGAGAAAACGCTCGTGTGGGACCCGCCGAAGAGTGGGGCAGAGTCCCGTTTGTGGTGGGGTGTTGTCCTCAACAGCGATGGCGAAGCAGTGAGAGAGGGAGAGACGCTTAGTGGGACGCAGCCCACCGCTGGAGAAGAACCCCTTTGTATGTTAGGTGAGCCAGATTATGGTATGTTAGGTTTTGAAATGTCAGGTTGGGTTAGATGAGGGTGGCAAAGATAGGGTAGGACAGAGAAGATTCAGGACCTACTTAAAAATGTTGCCGTTCTCCACATATGTATTTCCGAGGGCTATGCACATTCTGAAGTAAAAATTTGCCGAGAACGCTTGTGGAATCTCTGTGTATTCCAGTACGAATTACACTTTATTTCTTGTTTCTTTGAGACCTAAGCCTCAGTGAATTTTCAGGACTTTTCCCCATAGATAACCTCTCCTTTGTTTTGTATACCACCAAGAGTCAGGACACCCCTGTGAATCCAACATCCTTATATTTATTTATTTATTATGCACTCAGAAATCTTGAGAGGCCCGCACCCCCATGAGGGAAGTCGAAAAATTCCAACAACTCAAAATGAAACGGACGTCATTTCAAAATTGGCAAATACAGATATTTAAATTGCATGGTGTTCAAACGGTTAACACAGGCATACAGCGTCGTTAAACTATGAAGGTGTCCTAAAATGTTAAATATAAAACTTTATTTTTAAATTGTTAGTGTTTGCTTTAGCTTCGACGTAGAACTGAATACTGATCTGGAATGTGAGCTATTTTAGTCCATTTCAGTTTATTTTCTGATAGTTTCACAGGAAGTAGCTATTCCTATCAACCTCCCAAAAAATTTAACCTTCCTTTGAAAAGCAGAAGACCCGCCTTCTAACACAATACTGCTATTATTACGCGGCTTTAAACGTTACTTGAGGGGGACTATGATCTTTCTAAACAGGGCTCTGATGTACGTGTATTGAGCTCCCACACTCCTTAGCTGATATAAGCCTCTGTTCGCCACTGAGTCGACAGCTCACAACAAAACAGTCCTACACTAACGTATTAGAAGAAATTAAATGGTAGAACAACCACGAAGATGGATGTCTTCTGGGTTGTTATGCCGTGTAGTCTGACAAGACTACAGATGTTCCTGTTGCCTCCTTCATCAGGGCATGCAGCAAACACCCCTGAAACGTTGGTGATTTTCTACCAGAAGACAGCCATCTTCCATTATACCAGAACTACACAGAGATACAGCACTGCCAATACATACACACATAACCACAAGAGAGAATATAAA